ACCAAGACTTATGATAGAGAAAAGGTACAGACTGATTTAAATAGTTCAGGTGCGGCCACACTTCAGGAGCCAGAGTGAGCAGCGGCAACCATTGTCTTGTTTCCTTAAAATAGCCATATAGAGTTTTCAGCATAGCTGGTGCTGGCATAAGGGTACCCATCGGGTCGTCAGACTGGCAGTGCTTCTGTTGAAGGCAGCCAGGGTGTCAACAGAAAGCCCAATCGCTGCCCACTAGGGATTAAATCCCCACCTTTTCTTATATACAGGAAAATGGACACAGAAGGAATAAGAATGTGACCCTACCACCAGTAGATTTCTAGCTGTCTTTACCGCTTGCCTGGTCCCCTCAGAAGGGCTCTCATCTTCTTCCAAAGGAGGCCGATCCCTCTTGAGAATCTGTTCTCACTTTTCTACACAGTGGAGAAGTGTTTGGACAAAGAACAAGAGCAGCAAAGGCTGAGTTTAGATCCAGCTCTGCCGTCTGAACTCTGCCTTGGTTTCCTCACGGGTAGAAAGAGGTTGTAGAACCTCTGTCCCATCTTCCTCTAGGATCCCTTGTAGGGTCACATGAGGTCATGCATGGGAAAGCTGTTTTGAAACTGAAGGATTCTAGACACACATTATATATTACTGTTATTATTAGTGAACACACTAATAATAGGTAGAGGCTTCCTGTTCTATGAAAAGAAGAGACAAAAGTTGTCTTCTGGAGTTTTAAAAAGTTCCTTTATTTATTGACTTGTTTATTATTGCTGTTGGGAATGAATCTAGAGCCTTACCTGTGCTAAGCAAGTACTTAACCAATGAGCTACACTCCCAGGCTTCCCAAAGCCCCTTTAATAATTGATGCTCTGTAAACATTAGCCAAGTATGAATTAAGACTAATAGTTATCCTTTGGATTCCCCAGAAATGCTGTACTTCCAATACTTTATTTTATCACGTTATACAGTAACATGAAATGCAAATAAAATATTCCATACAGGAATGTTGTATTAATCACAGTACAAAGCCCTGAATTCAGTCTCCTAGCAATCAAACACACACACACACACACACACACACTCCCCGATTTACTGTGCCAGAGAAGTAAGTACCCAGTGAGAACTTACTTCATACGTTCAGGAAAAACTCTTTAACAATAACAGTGTTTGTCCAGTTTTGGCTAGTGCCTAAACTGGACAGAAATCATCTGGGGCTTATCTAGGTTTTGAGTTATATTATATGTGATGTCATCTACATAGCTCTTTTAAGCTCCAAGCCCAAGTTATGGTTTGAGCAATTAACCATGTTTCACAGAGACAGAAATTCCAAGGCTTGGTTGTTTGGACAAATGGAAGTATTTACAATGTAATATATTGTCATAGTTATCCCCGCACAGACCAAGGCTGCTTTCCCAGGCAGTCGTCAGCCAGGGTCGCCCTATCTGTCGGCAGAATCATGCTCTTTCTGATAAGATACCTAGGCATGTTCCTTCAGCCAAATTCTACTTTATAGAACTTATATATTGACTGGATGCTTTACAACATCAACTTATTACTCCCAGTTTCTCCTGTGTCATCATTACCAACACATTGCTGACAATTATACCAGTCAACATGGCAGTCACCTAGAAAACATGAAAATTCCACATCTGTGTTCACCTGGGTAACTGCTGACCCCTTACCTGAAGGGCCTTTAAATTTTAGGAAAAGAACGTGTTCCCTTTACAGAACTGGCTTTCAAGCATGGTATCTGAATTATTCAAGTGTTTCCACACTGTCTCCAAATGCACTAGGCTGCTCTTAAGCACTAAGCCATCACTCCAGCCTGATTTAAATACCTTTTACATAGTCTTCTTTTTTTAGATTTATTTATTTGTTTTATGTGTTTGAGTGTTTTACTCTCATGTATGTCTATACACCATGTGGATGCCTGGTACCTGAGGAGGTCAGAAGAGGGTGTCAGATGTCCTGGAACTGGAATTATGGACCTATCAACTATTGTGAGCCACCATGTGGGTGCTGGAAATTGAACCTGGGTCCTCTGCAAAAATAGCAAGGGCTCTTAACCACTGAGCCATCTTTCCAGCCCCCTATATAAATACTTTTGTTTGGTAATCCTTTATTTTTCTATTTTAAAAGATAACCAAGCTTTCACCTAATTCTGCTCAGCTACCACTTTGGGAACAGTTTAACAATTAATTGTGTTTTCCATGTGAAATGGCAGGAGAAATATTTTGTCTTCTGCTACCTGCCCTTCAACAATTAACCGAGCTTTTCCAACCGTTGCTGGTGCAGCTGAGCTGTTTGAAAATGCAACATTAGGGTTATGGAGGAAACACACAGGTAAGAGCATTTCCTGGGTTGGTAACACCTGCGTCCACACGTGCCTGAACTCCAGGGCTGCAGAAGGAAGCAGATGACTGAGGTGGCTTGCTGGCCATCCAGCCTAGCCGAAATAGTGAACTTTAGGGTCAGTGAGAGACCCTGCTTCAAGAAATAAGGCAAGGCTGCAGAGATGGCTCCATAGTTAAGAATGCGTCCTGCTCTTGTGGATGACTACAGAGTTCAGCTCCCAGCACCCATGTTAGGCGCCTCACAACCACCTGCAACTCCAGCTCTAGAGGAGCCAATCCTCTGGCCCCAATGGGTACCTACTCACACGAACATATCCACATACAGATACACAAGATGATGATGATAATAATAATAATAATAATAATAAAGAGCTGGCTGTGATAGCCCACACCTTTAAACTCAGCACTTGGGAGGCAGAGGTAGGTGGATCTCTTTGTGTTGTAGGCCAGCCTAATCCACAAAGTGAGTTCTGGGCCAGCCAGTGTTACATAGTGAGCCTTGTCTCAAAATGAATGAATGAATGCATGAATGAATGAATGAATGAATGAATGAATGAATGAATGAAGTGGAGAATAACGCAGGAAGATACTTAATGTCCTCATCTGGCCTCTGCATGTGCATCCATGAGCTTGCTCCCACCACATGCAAATTAATTAATCTTAAAATGCAGTATAAGCACCATAAACTCCAGCTCTTTTACTATTTATATATTTGTTTTTTTTTTTTTTTTTTGGTTTTTCGAGACAGGGTTTCTCTGTGTAGCTTTGCGCCTTTCCTGGAACTCACTTGGTAGTCCAGGCTGGCGTCGAACTCACAGAGATCCGCCTGGCTCTGCCTCCCGAGTGCTGGGATTAAAGGCGTGCGCCACCACCGCCCGGCCTACTATTTATATATTTGTTAAGAGACAAGGTCTCTCACAAATAGCCCAGGCTGGCTCCAACTTGTGATCTTTCTGCCTCAGTTTCCAGAATGTTGGGATTACATGTATGTGCTACTATGTCCACTTATGACCCTTAACTCTTACTTAAATGCAACTTTGAAATAAGGGCACTCTGCTTTAAGTTTTTTCCAATGCTGGGGACAGAACCAGTGCTCTACCACTGGGTGACATTCCCAGCCTTTCCTAATCTTTTTTTTTCTTTTTTCTTTTTTCTTTATTCATGAACACAGAGGTAGATCTCAGCACTAGAAACAGAACACATAGATTTCAATTCCTGGTTTAAGCATTCATGAGTTAGAAAGAGGAAATTGGAGAGTTTTAGGCAAGCCTGGGTTACACAGTGAGATTTGATGTCAAACAAAAAGAATAAGATAAAACTCTGAATCTCATATCTGCTACCTGGCTTCAGGAGAACTGTGTAGCACTTGGATCTTAGTTTTTACCTCTGAAATTGGACTTGATCAGTGGTTCTCAATTCTGGCTGCACAGCTGTTGTATGGCAGATGCCAAACACACACACACACTCACACGCACACTCACACACACTCACACTCACATGCACATGCACACATCTATTCACTCCAGATAGGTAGCCCATGACAGACCAAAATATGGATACCACCAAAATCCAACTTGGTGAACCAATGTGTTTTACTGGGATTACTTACAAGAATATGGGTGAAGGGTTACTCACAGGAGCAGAAATAACTCAAAGCCAGCTGCATCAATAAAGCCCACCCCAGGGTGCCAGCTCACAAAAGTTGGGAACCTGTACGGCACTGCACAGCCTGCAGGTAGGTCAGCAGGTTGGAGAGTGTCCTCTCCAACCCCAGGTGGCTCAGTTAGTCTGAGCCTCTTCCAGGGAACTTAGTTGGTTTTTGTTTTTTTTCTCCATACTTCCTTAGGTTTCTGCTTCTTCTCTGTTTCTGGGATTGCCTCAGAGTCTTCTTTGCAGCTTGGCTTGCCAGCAGTCTTCACTGCTCATACACTCTTGGGGAGGAAGAGGGCCTGTTGAGTCTGGTCAGTTTCAGGAACTTCCTGAAGCTATTTTGAATTTGTTTACTTTCTGTCTGTATTGTTAGGGTTTCTATTGCTATGAAGAGACACCATGACCAAGGCAACTCTTATAAAGGAAAACATTGAATTGAGGCTGGGTTACAGTTTAGAGGTTTAATCCATTATTGTCAAGGTGGGTGGTATGGTGGCATGCAGGCAGACACAGTGCTGGAGAAGGAGCTGAGAGTTCTACACCTTGATCCACAGGCAGCAGAAGCGACTGCTTGCCACACTGAATATGGCTTGAGCATAGGAGATGTCAAAGTCCACCCCCACAGGGATACACTTCCTCCAATAAACCCATACCTGCTCCAACAAGGCCACACCTCCTAAGAGTGCCACTCCCTTTGGGGGCCACTTTCTTTCAAACCACCGTGCTGTCTGAATGAGCTTCCCTGAAGGATGGAATGTTTCAATTGAGAGGAAACTGGTACACAATAGCAGGACCATTTGGAAGTTTGAAGCTAGTGTAGAGTGGTTATGTCGTGGTCCTGGGGATTCTAACAGGCAACCAGGGTTGGAAATTGCTGGACTCAGTACTTGCTGAGGTGGTTGTAACTATGTCTCTCTGGATGCCAGAGTATCAGTGGGTTGTCCCTTTGTAACCAGGCCAGCTCCTCTTCCCATCTTCAGGATCTAACTGAGCCCTTTTGTTTGCTGCCTGTAGTTTCCATGCATGTGTGGAATGCTTCACTCAAGAACCATGATGCTAGATGGAAGCTACAGTGAATCTGAGGCCAACAGCCTGGCTGGCTACCCGAGAAGCCATATTCTGCCAGAAGAAGAAAGGCAAGACAAAATAGTGGTCCATTTGGCCCTCAACAGTGAATTGACATCCTCCAGAAAGAGAGGCCTTCTCAAAGGCCAAATGGGGCTCTACATCTTCCAGAACACCCACGCCATTGACAAATACTCCAGGTTGATATTTCCGGCCTTCTATATATTTTTCAACCTAATTTATTGGTCAGTGTTTTCCTAGGGATTCCAAGGCTGTGTCTAAGAAAGGGCATGGACAGCCCTTGGTGGACACATGGACCTGACGACCACACTTCCTACACCAGCTGGCTTGGAGGAGCCCAGGGACCTCCAGCTGCCCTCACCCCATCTTTGTGGGTCTTTTCCTAGTTCATGCTGTGTTCCACATCACCCTACCCACCTCTCTCAACAGAGCTGTCTTTTGCTGTATATGAACTTGCTCACAAGAACTCCCCCCACACCTACTTAATGAAAGACTCAAATGCCTCCCAGATATTCTGAGATGCTCAGTATGGGAAGAAAGAAAAGGAAGGACAAACCAAGGGGCATTCTGGGTAAGAAACTGGGTGCAAAAATCGGTGAACTTATCCAGTTGGATTAAGTGCCTACACTGGAAGAAAAAACTCTCAGAACGGGACAGGAAATGATTGGGCCTCAACAAAACTGGCAACTGACATGATTTTATAAATGCTAGAGGAAATGTTCATTTCCCTATTCATTTAATCATTCATTAAACACTGAGCCCCCACCCTGTGCCTAGAACTGTGGGAATGAATGAGTGGTCTTTTCCTTCCCTGAGCTTATGTAAGCTATGCTCATTCTATGTACACAGTGTCCTCCGCGTCCTGTCCCCTGCTCTGCCTCACATCCACAGACCCATTCCGTTTCCTGGTGTGTTCACTCTAGGTCTGTCTAGAAAAGCACTTCCACGCTCTTGTGAGGCCCTCCTGAAGCCAGCTCAGCGCTTCTGCCCTGGGGCATCCTTGTGGAATGAACCAAGGGCTGAGAATACAACAGGACTTGAGCATTGGAGAAAGCACAGTGTGATCCTGGAGAGAAGGGGACCTAGGTCTGCAGTGGAAATCTAGTCTGATACCCCCGCTTCCTGTTTCAGGCTCCTCCCCTTCTTCCTCAGCAAAACAGCATCCTTAATGTCATCGTTATCATTATCCCTGTGTCCAAGTCCAGTCCCCACCCTCGAGGTCCCACCTACTCCGACCAGAAGGTTCCACACTCTAGAGTGACTTCTTTTTTTTTAAAAAAAAGATTTATTTATTTATTATGTATACAGCATGTATGACCAGAAGAGAGCACCAGACCTTATTACAGATGGTTGTGAGCCACCATGTGGTTGCTGGGAATTGAACTCAGGACCTCTGGAAGAGCAGTCAGTGCTCTTAACCTCTAAGCCATTTCTCCAGCCCCCTAGAGTGACTTCTTACTTCTACAAGTGGCCCTTTCTTCTACTACCACTGAGTGAGCGTTAAGAAGGCAACCTGACTCATTTAGCTGACCCTGAATCGTGGTAGGAGATGGCTAGAAAATTTAAGGAAATCTCTACCAGAATTTTGGGTGATATAAAGGGTATGATTCTGATAAGAAGTTCTTTAAGTTAAAGCATCTGGGGTCAGAAGGTTGTTTCTGAGGAGCTAAGGGGATGCCCCCCTCCAGATCCTTGCTTACTGAAGGACACTCTTCCTCTTCCTCACCGTCCCCACCAGCTTCCTGTGAGGGGAAGAGTCTTCCTTATAAAGTCTGCTCTCCTGCACATGACTCCAGGACAGGAATTAGTTCTGCAGACCAGGCACACAGGACTGTCGAACCTCCATGAATTCCAAGCCAGGGAAGGGTCTGCTGCTGCTGCTTGATCCTCTCTCTCCCTCAGCATGGTTGGCTCTCACATCTCTGTTCCTTCAGGATCACTCCCCACCTCGTGTCCTCTGTCCCCTTACATACATCTTGTGTCAACTGGTTCCAGTTACTGGTTTCAACAGTCCCTTGCCCATGCTAAAGATTCATCATCTCTAGTCACCAGCCTTGACCTCAGCTGTAGCTTCTAGCCCACCCGTTCAGAGGCTGTGTGCCAGCGTGGGATTCATAGAGTGGGCTCAGCCAGGCTAGTTCAAGTACCACTGTGACATGCATTACCTTAGGTGGCTGCGAGTTTAGTGAGCTTCCAAGGCTACCCTGATATTTAAGGACTCAGGGAACTCAGAAGAGCCATTATACTCATGGTTACCACTTATTACTGTAGCGTAAAACCAGAATCAGCAAAGGAAGAGGTGCACAGGAGAGGGTCTGGAGGACAGGGGCGGAACTCGAAAGTGTTCTCTCCTCTTGGACCTATATGGACTGTGCTTGTTTTCCCCAGCAAGGATGTGTGAAGAGTTCAGGGAAGCTCAGCCAACTCATCAAGGTGTACCAGCTCGGCATCACTGATTGTCCACGTGACTGATCTTAGTCTGCAGCTTCTCTGGAGGTTGAGCAGGCCTGCCTTGGGCACACGGTGCCTAATTGTGGGTTCTAGAAACTGGAACGTTCAAGAACACGGACCTCATCCAATCTTGTCTCCTAATTGTCTCCTGTATTAGTTACTTTTGGGTTGCTGTGACAAAATTCTTGACAGAAGCGACTGAAGGGAGGAAGGATTTACTTCATCATTTTTTGTCTGGCGTAGAGAGGGAGCGTTCAGACTGGCAGGAATATGTGTCTGGGGATACTCATGCTGGTGAATCAGATCACATAAAGCTCCAGCAAGAGCCATACGCAGATATAACCTTTAAAGCCAACCCCTCCAACTTCTGTGACCATGTGCTAGCCAGGCCACATGTCCCAAAGATTCCATGGCCTCCTAAAACAGTGCTACCATCTGGGACAGTGATTCAGACATGTGAGCCTTCGGGAGACATTTGTATTCAAACCACAGCACCCCCTAAAAGCCCAGCTTTTAGATACATTTACCATGTGATCTGGACACTGAGTTTCCAACACATGGAACTTTGAGGGTCACATTCAAATCATAACATGTGTTAGGGCCACAGTAATGCTTCAACATGTGATATGAATTCTGAAGAAGGAAAGGAAGGTAAGACTGAGGCTCAAGGGGAAAGCTGTCCCTCAAACACTCTTGAAAGCATGTATTTGGATAGGAAAACATGGGGCCAATTATGGGCTAGGTCTCTGCTAGGACAAGGAAGAATTTAATCTGTAGTAAGATGAGAATTTAGGTAACATCAAACAGCTAGAGCAGGCTTGACTTAAGGTCAGAGAGGTGGCATCAGTAGCTCTGGCCACACCATAACCAGGTCATAGGACCCAGTCACTCAACGACCTGAGTTCAAGAGAATGCAGATTACAAGCCTTAGTCTGGGGTTTTTGCAGCTAAGGATAGGGAAGGGGGAAGTGTTAGGGACAGATTGGGGGTTTGATGCTCTCCTTAGACAAGCTGTGTTTGAGATGGCAGTCTATTGCCTTCTTTTGTAACCACTGGGTGTCTGGGGTTGGGATCAGCTGCCTTTCTCCTTAAATCTCCAAACAGCTGCTTCTTGGAACTTAGAGCTCAGGTTAGGGTGGCGTGGATAGCATGACGACTATTGCTGCTTGGCAAAGTTCCAGCATTTTGACTTCGTAGTTCACAATTCTCCAGCACCCTTTGGCTTTTATTTTTAATGATTCTCACTATGTGTTATGGGAGTTCCCCTATGCCTTTTCCCTTGGGAAATTTTGTGTGGGTTTTGAGGAAGGAAAGTGTATAAAATGGCAGCCCTCCCAGCTCACCCTCAGATCATGTCAGTGTCCTCCTTTCCTTCGCTGACTCTTCACACCTCCTCTTGGGGACCTGAACCCTGCTGGAGCTGGACTCTGACATTAGGGCCTTGGCTTTTGGTTGTGGTGGTAGTTCATTTGTGTGCTCTCTGATATGGTAACCACATGTCACCGGCATAGATAAATTTTAATTAATTAAAGTTAAATAAAATTGAAACTTCTCAGTGGCACTAACCACACTTCAGGCACTCTGGTCAGTAGCCACAATACCTGTGGTTTTCTTACTGGATGGTGCAGGTCTACAGAACATTTCATAAGGGTTGAAAGTTCCTTAGATCAGTGGTTCTCAACCTTCCTAGTGCTGCGACTCTTTAATACAATTCCTCATGTTGTGGTGACTCCCAACCATAAAACTATTTTTGTTGCTACTTCATAACTTTACTTTTGCCACTTTTATGAATCATAATGTAAATTTTTTGGAGAAAGAGTTTTGCCAACGGGGTCATGAGGCACAGGTTGAGAACTACTGCCTTGGGTGAAGGGATCAGCCTGTGTAAACAGATGGAAGGGGAGAGGAGAGCTTGGAAAGGCAGAGAGAAGGACATTTGGGCAGGTCATTGCAGCTGGTTCCCAGGCTGCAGGAAGGACAGGTAAGAGCCCAGCTGTGCCAGGGCGCCAGGCCTCATGGTAAGTCTCCACCACACCAGTGCCAATGAGGACAGCTCCCCCTCCATGGACCTGCCTGGCCAAGACCCCCTGGATCTTCCAACCTTGTAGATCAGCAAAGAACTACGTGTGTACGTAAGGATAACTGCATGGTGGATTTTTCTTGAAACCTTTACATCTCCAGATAGTTAGATGCATTGCTTTGGTTAAAAATCACTGAATCTGAGTTGAAGGCCAGCCCGGACAATATATCAAGAACTTGTCCTGGGCTGGAGAGGCGGTTCAGTGTAAGAACATTTACAATACTTAGCTGTTCTTTCAGAAGACCCTGGTTTGGTTCCCAGCAACTGGCTGTAACTCTAGTACACATAAACTAACACACATGCATGCGCGCTTGCGCGTGCACACACACAAATAATAAACGCATGTTAAAAAATTAACACGAGCTGTGGGGTGGTGGTGAGCACCTTTAATCCCAGCACTCGGGAGGCAGAGGCAGTGGATCTCTATGAATTTGAGGCCAGCCTGGTCCACAGAGTGAGTTACAGGACAGGCTCCAAAGCTACACAGAGAAATCCTATCTCGAAAAACCAAATAAAAAAAAAAAAAAAGAAAGAAAGAAAGAAAGAAAGAAAGAAAGAAAGAAAGAAAGAAAAATTAACACCTGAGCTGCAACTCCCAAGTCCTGACTCTACTACTGTGGCGTGAACTCTCTCCCCGCAGCCTCTCTCTAGGCTGATACTAAAGTCAAAAATAAATTTCTCTGAGAGAATATTGCCTGGATGGGGAGGCTCTTCTCTGGATGTGGTCTGAGGCCGTGTTCCCTGGGGGACTCTGGGGAGGCAGGAGATGGAAGACAGGGATGAGTAGAGACTGTGACCATGAGGCCACCGACCAAAGAGGGATCAAAAAGGAAGGCGACCCCCTTCCTCCTTCCTCAGCAACTTACCTGCTGGTGCTCCACGGACCAGCCCAGCAGAGAACACTCCGCCCACCGGAGCAGTGGCTGTTCGGGGACCTGATCCTCTGAGAGGCGGTGAGATGTGGAAGCAGGGCCAAGATGGCAACAGAAGCCCTCAGCTCCTAGTCCATTCCACTCCATGGCTTTCTGCTGGGCTGGTATTTTGTTGTTGTTGTTGCTACTTTGATTTCTGTTTTTGTTAATCATTTGTTGGGGGAAGTTTCTGTTTTCTCCTTTGAACATTCCTCAGATTTATCTGGAAGTCTTTGGCTTCCTGGTGGCGTGGGTTCAAAGGAAGGAGGATGAAAGGAGCAGGCAGGGCCTGCCACCCACAGGGCTGATGGTTCCAGCTGCAC